TACCAAAAAAAAAAAAAAAATGGCCAGGCATGGTGGCACATACCTGTAGTTCCAACTGCTTTGAAGGCTGAGGTGGGAGGATTGCTTGAGTCCAGGAGACGGAGGCTGCAGTGAGCCATGATCATGCCACTGCACTCCAACGTGGGTGATGGAGTGAGACCCCAACTCAAAAAAAACTTCCCAATACCATAAAAACAGGAGTTACGGTTGATTATGAAAGGACAGTACATGGATTTAATATTCCCAATGAGCAACCTTTTTTTTGTTTTTTTTTTTGAGTCGGAGTCTCCCTCTATCGCCCAGACTGAAGTGCAGTGGCACGTTCCCAGCCACCCCAGCGTCGACCTTCTGGGCTCTGGCGATCCTTCCACCTCAGCCTTCCAAGTACAGGCGTGCACTACCACGCCTGGCTAATTTTTGATTTGTTGTAGAGACAAGGTCTTGCCAAGTTGCCCGAGCCGGTCTCGAACCCGTGGGCTCAGGCAGTCCACTCACCTCGGCCTCCCAGAGTGCTGGGATGACAGGCTGAGCCACTGAGCCTGGCCTAGCAGCCATTTTAACTTTGCCTAAATCTCATGGTTTTCTAGCGGTTCACTGTGTCCTCTAATCACTAGCCAAGGACAGACCCTATTTCTCAGAGGTAGCTATTGATATTTATTTGACAACCCCTCTGCCTAACTTGTTTTGTATTAATTAGCTTTTCTATCCCAAGTATTTGCCTCCACCCATGAGACCCAAGTTAACCAATCAGCCCTCTGTGACCTTCTATACACAGACAGACCCCGTCCCCAGGGCAGCAGTCATGTGACTGGCCCTCCCATCTGCCTGCTGTCCATGCCCTGACGTCAAGACCTGCGCTTACCTGCCCCTTCGTGATGATGTGAGCAGACCACTACCCCACCGTCTTAGCCACCTGCCGCCATCAACAGAATAGGCTAAAAGCATTCAGCCCCTAAAGCGGGGACCAAAGGGAGGCCCAAACTTTACCTGTACGATGACCATTTGTAGACCTAATCCTGAATTGTACCCCACAACTTTAAAATAAAAATAAATAAATAGATACATAAATCAACAAAAGCATTCAACCTCGAGCAGCCAGCCACCATTGCCTTACTAGACTCTGGTGTGGCCATGTGCTCTTTGAGCCATGGCCACTGTCAAGTTTCCTGAGCTTTGGTCCCCTCTCCTGCCTTGGAGAGGTGAATCCTCTCTCTTCTCTCTCTCTCTCTGATTTACTGTGTAAACATACTCTATTTTCTAATCTAACCGCTGCGCAATTCTTTGCATCCTTCACGTGGCTCCAGAACACACACCAGACGCTCGCACCCTGACAGGTCTGACCCAACCTTCTGGAGCCCCCGGTGGGACCGTGCCCTAACAGATTATTTTGCCATGGTCGGGGGCAGGGCGGGGGAGAGCTGGCATTAACTTTTGACTGAATCCCGGGTGCTCCACTCTTGGGCTTGACGTGCTGGTCTTGCAAAATGCTTACCGTCTCTGCCATTATTATCTCTATTCTGCAAAAGGGATTCTGAGACTCCAGATGAGTCAAGAGCTAAGAAGTGAGTTGAGTAAAACTTGAGTCCAAGTTGAAGGCTCGTTCTCCAGCCAGGAGGTCGCACACAGTGGAGTACCTCTCTAAGGGTTGAGCCATCTTTCAATCCAAAACCAAACGAACTGGCTCTGGGAGGTGGTTGGGCTGTTCCTTTAAAACTAAGAACAGATTTTCCGTGTGAATTAGCAATTTCCCCAAGAAACGAAGACTTATTTTTACCCAGTTTTAACTTGGATGCCTGCAGCCACTTTATTCACAGTAGTCAAAAATCAGAAACTACCCAAATGTCCTTCAAACTGTGAATGGTTGAAAAAACTCTGGCACATTCACACCATGAAATATTACTCAGTGATAAGAAGAATGAACTACGGATGGCTGCAGCCATGTGGACGAACCTCGGGGGAGTCATACTGAATGATTAAAGTCAATCCCAAAAAGGTCTCACGGCAGATCCTACCGATATCACGATAGTGAGACTATGTAAACAATGCAATTACAAGCTGGAGAACAGAGATCTGGCTGCAGGGTCCTGGGATGGGGGTGTGAGTGGCTCTAAAGAATAACATGGCCAGGCCGGGCACAGTGGCTCAACACTTTGGGAGATCAAAGCAAGAGGATTGCTTGAGCCCGGGGGTTCGAGACCAGTCTGGGCAACTTGGTGAGACCGTGTCTCTGCAATAAATCACAAAAAAACTAGCCAGGCGTGGTGGCATGCATCTGTAGTTCCCGCTACTTGGAAGGCTGCGGCAGAAGGATCACCTAAGCCCAGTCAGTTGAAGCTGCGGTGGCCGTGAGCATGCCACGGCACTCCAGCCTGGATAACGGAGTGAGTCTCTGACTCAAAAAAAAAACCACTAAAAATAACATGGCCAGGCATGGTGGCTCAAGCCTGTCACCCCAGTCTTTGGGAGGCTGAGGCGAGAGGATTGACTGAGCCCACGGGTTCGAGGCCAGCCTGGGCAACTTGGCAAGATCTCATCTCCACAATGAATCAAAAAATTAGCTGGGCATGGTGGTGTACACCTGTAGTTCCAGCTACTTGGAAGGCTGAGGTGGAAGGATTGCCTGAGCCCAGCAAGTGGAGGCTGCAGTGGCTGTGAGCATGCCACGGCACTCTAGCCTGGGCAATGGAGTGAGACTCTGACTAAAAAAACAAAAACAAAAACAAAGTAGCATGGGGATCATTATGGCTCCATGAGAGTTGGCGTACCCTGCAGTTCTGAAGGCCAATAGGATGCTGAGCATCACCAGAGAGGCGACTGGAAGTGAAACAGACCCAGAAGGTTCGGTCTCTTGCCAGAGGCCGAAAGGGCTTGGCTAACTCTTTTCGGACAAAACCCACACACCTAAACTGTGAGGAGTTTTTGAAAAACGGTATTAACAAACTAGGAGGTGACAAAGATTCCAAAAGAAGTATGACAGAATTCTAGAAAAGAAGAAAAGACTGGCCAGGCTCGGTGGCTCAGCCTTTGGTAGGCCGAGGTGAGTGAATTGCCTGAGCCCGTGGGTTCAAGACCCACCCGGGCAACTTGGTGAGACCTCGTCTCTACAGTAAATCGAAAAAATTAGCCGGACATGGTAGCGTGCGTCTGTAGTTCTGACTACTTGGAAGGCTGAGGAGGAAGGATCGCCGGAGCCCAGCAGGTCAAGGCTGCGGTGGCCGGGAGCGTGCCATTGCACTCCAGTCTGGGTGACAGAGTGAGACTCCAACTCAAAATAAAAGAAAAAAGAAGAAGAAAAGACTCCCAAATCAAATAAAACTGAGGCCTACTTTTCAAAGCTTGGCAGGGAACTTAAGTCACTGAAGAGAAGCACTACCCTCTCGGATGGCGGTACCACAGAGCACAAAACAAACATGCGTTGAATGAATTCACAACTGCCAAAGCCATCATGGGTGTGGTGACAAATTTTCTATCCTTGAAGACTGGTGGCCAGGTGTGGTGGCTCACGTCTGTAATCCCAGCACTTTGGGAGGCAGAGGCCAGAGGATTGCCTGAGCCCAGGGGTTCAAG